AGAAAAAGAAAAGCAAAAAAAAAAATCTGGTAAATATGTTGTGATTTTCTATACTGATGTTTAACAATGTAAACGTGCAGTAGAGCTAATCCTATATATTACTCCAATTTATAAGCTACAACCTGATTTGTAACCATATAAGATATTTCAATCTTAGATGGTGAATTGGTTGCCATTTAACCCTTTAACAAAGTTTTTGGCAAATTGGTTTCCAATTTCCCCATTTGCCTTTAGACTTGGAAAGATTGATAGATTTGATTAGAATGTTTGGTAGATCTGTTTTTTTAAATTGTTTTTGAATTCTGTGTGATTCAAATAGTGTAAATTTTAAAACTAACATCTTTATGCTTTCAGTAGTTTTATATTTTGAATTTTAAATTTTAAATTTTAATTGTAGAATTGCATTGAAAAAAATTTTAAAAAAAATTGATAGATATATTATTTTATGTTACAAACTCATTTCATTTTTTTTTAAAATTAAAACATGTAAAATATAATATTATAAACTATATAATATTGTAAATAATTCAGTAAAATTTATAACAAAAATATTCACATATTAATTGATATTATTTTAGATTGAACTAAATATAATTAGTAACTACCCCTAGTTTTCAAATATATTACTAAACACATTAAATAATTTTTTTAAAATTGATATTCAATTTTCAAATCTGCTACCGGTTCCATTGGTAAGGTCATGGAGCCTTGTGGTAACACTTGTAATCTTGTCTTTATCTTCGAACCTTCGAGTGAGTGAGTTTAATACCAAAAATTCTTGATGTCTCCTCACAACGAAGGATAGCACCGACCCTAGACCAAACAGACAAATAATGCTACGCTAACTGTTAAAGGATAGTTCAAAATACAAAACCACCTCACTTCCATCGATATTGTCAATTTTTTCTATTTCAGCTGTCCCTTACATTTTGCTCTACTATACTACACTACAACCAATCCTATACAAGATCCTGTAGCTAGCAATTCTCAAGGCTACCAAAGGTTTACAATTTGGCCACCCTCAAAAAAGAAAAAGAGAGGAAAAAAAACAGTGAGGCAAATACAAGTTGGCCAAAGGATTACAATTCTTTCTGGAACACATGACACGAGTACATGAGCGATAACATAATGTTCATCTGTTTACACACAAGTGAGACAGCTTGTGATGGATATATATATATATGATGATATAGAATAATGGCGCAGAAATATACAATACTATGGCATAAGCATAACTCTCCTACTTATATTCAAGAAGAGAATTACTTACCGCACTTGAAAAGTCCAAAAAGCTGCAGAGCTCTTTGCTCCTCCTTTGTGTACTGACCCTTAGTGCAGAGCTGCAAACTCAACTAGTTCTTTGTACTTGTTAGAGACCAGAGACTTCACCTTCAGAGTTGGTTGGCCATTACCTTTTGCTGGAGACACATACTTCATCCCGATTACTGTTGCCAGGCCTAAGGAGGAGTCTGGTAATTAGTTTACATGCACATGAAATAGCACCATGGAATAAGATCGAAGAACACTCATTTATTTTACCAGTTCATATAATGGTTTATTAAAATTGAACAAGAAGAAAAACTGACTTTAGGCATGTCCACATTCAGGACTAACAAAATATTGTCAATCGAAAAGAGTCTTAAATAAGGAATTTGTGAGAAAGAGAAACATGTACATATGGATATGCCTATTGATGAAAGACATTAACAAAGAAAGTTGCAATAATAAGCGTCCACTTACTCTGATGTACACGTCCATACAACAGCCTTTCACCTTTCCAATACTCCAAAGGTCGTGTTTTGAACCTCGTACTTCTTCTTACCCCACTTTCCCACTTTGTACCAGCCCCTGGAAAGATTAGCAGATATGCAAAGTATTTTCAGAAGAAAAATCTAAATAATATAGAATTTAAAATTTGAGTTAAATTTACGTATAAACACCTGCAAGGCTTTGCCTCCGAGAAATGTTTTTGTCTTTGCGTTGTTTGTTTGCATGAGATTTTGGCTTGACCTGTTCATACATCAAAAACCCAAAAAATCCTTGATTTTCTCTCAAAAGTCAAATCAGTAACAACCATGTTCTAGCAAACAAGTAGAGTTAATAAAAGGAGGGGTCTTTATCATTTTCTAATTTCTTCCTTCGGTGGTGACAAGTTAATTTACTTATTCCTAATGTTCTACGGAGTACATAGGGGCAGCGAGTGGAGTTGGTATGCTGCTACTAATTTTAAATTTTAGCAGGCAATACATTAATAAAAATAGAATAGCACATGAAATCAAGCAATAGTCAACAATAATGTGACAATATTAGTAGTTTTGAGAAATTAAGAATTATGAAACAAACACGGGCAGGAAAAAATGAACAATGAAACTGAATACAGTACTACAATGAAATATCTAGAATGTACCATTTCTTATTTATATATATATATTAATTAGAAAAAGAAAAAACAGTACTTCCTTAGGACAATGGTAACCACAATAAAGAAAGTCTTCATATTTCACAAACACCATAATTTGACAAAGCACTTCAAGTCATCAATAATTAGCAACGGGAAATAGAGGTCCAAGAGAGGAAAAAAGAAAGGAAAGGTCAAAAACCTTATCATGGTGATCCGTTCCACTGCTCCTGGACACCCCGTCTACATTATTATCAGTAGAAGTAGCAGTTGATTGATCTGTTAAAAAACAAAGGATGCAGAGTCTGAAATCATCTAATCCATCTACTGGGAATTATTAAGCAAACAATTAATTTCTGCCTTTTCAACCTAAAAATGGAAGAACATAAACAGTGCAATCTGTGAAGAAAGAAAATGGTTCTTCATATGAGAAAGCTGAAATCAATTCATAATTATAACATGATTGAAAAATATTTTAGCATGTGTCTTTTCATTCAGAAGAACACATCATAGTTATAGAGTTCCTTCATAATGTGAAGCATTGAAGTGGTACACGCTTAACTACTAAAATTTATTTCAAAATCAAGGACATATTTCTTATAAAGTTATATATTAGTCCTCAGATCTAGAAGAACATATTTATCCTAAATTTATTATTAAAAAAAAAGTCCAACCATCAAAAGCACTAAGATGAGCAATAACATAACGTTTGGTTATAATTTCCCTTAGACAAGATTGTACAAGAAATTATCAGCTAGAGCAACTAATGATTCTGGTACTGGTGATCATACCCAACTGACTCTGAATACCAAACGGATACTCTTTAGTCGCATCCACCTTGGATGTGTTCAGTTGCTCTGAAGCTAATTCATCATGATCTTCCATCTGTTTATTGTCACAACAAACACAATATCCAACTTCAAAACATTTATAACTCTAAAGGGCAGCGGTAAAAATAGTAACTAGCACAACAAAATGCACCTCATCATCCAATGCATTTGATGCATTAGCCAAACCATCTGCTTTGGCTCCAAGACAACTCAATTTCTTATTTACTAGCACAACAAAATGCACCTCATCATCCAATGCATTTGATGCATTAGCCAAACCATCTGCTTTGGCTCCAAGACAACTCAATTTCTTATTTACTTCCACTTCTGTGTCGCTACCACTAATTTCCTTAGCTTCCATGCTGGCGTGACTTCCATTTAAGGCAGCATTGCCACCAACTTCGGGTACATTTAAAACATTAGCCAAAGATATTTTAGACATAGAATCAACATCTCCAATAGGGCATTTGGGTGACCTAATTCCATTAGGTACAGCCTCACCATCTTTGGTTAAAGGTGACTTCAGTTTAGAAACACTCGACTGCTTTGCAATATCAACTATGTCAGACAAGTGATTAATGTGTTCAGAAAAGGAAGGATTTCTTGCTGGGGACTTGTCAATGTCATGAGCTGAAAATGGATCACTTGATGAATTTGAAAGCAAAATTTGCCTATTTAGGGCTAATACTGATGCCAATGGACTTTTCATTGAGGATGGCGTAGAAAGCAGATGAACAGAACTTTCATCATCCTGCTTAAACTTCGAAGTCTCTATCCTTTGTAATTGATTGTCCACACTGATCAAACTACGCTTTGGCGCATTGCCTCTTGAAGATTTCAAATTCACTGTCTGAATAGCTTGCAAATCTGGAAGGCATAATTTCTCTAAATTGATGGGTTTAATCTGTAAGCATTCCTGTAATTTGTTGATGGCTCGATCACCTTCTAAATCTTCACAGTTAGCCGACAGTAACTCATCCAAAATTCTATTCACTTTGTTCTCTGACTTGGTGATTGAGGCTGCAAAGAGGAAAAAAATATCATAGCATCAAAAAAAGGTCTACACTGACACCGAAATATGAAAAAATAAGAGAGGGAGAGGAAAGGGGGAGAGGACAATGATATTTGAGATATCTAAAATCTACTGGACCATGATGCTTGCAGAATGTTGCATTATAAATCTCCATTAGAAATTACTTACTAACTAACTCCTCCTCCTCCTCCTCCTCCTCAAATGGGACATGTTCACCAGTTCTCTTTTCTGAGCCAATTATAGGTGGACTGGGACATTTTTCTGTGCCCATTATTGATGGACTAATATTACCTGATTCAAATGTAACTTGAGAGGGTTCTACGTTCTGATCATCTTCAGATGTTATTGATGAATATTGATGCTTGTATCTAACAGACCTCCTGCATGGACAACAACCAAATTTTGGTTCCCAAACAAAAATGATGCCGCAAAGAAAAGACACAAAATTTTGTTAATATAATAGCATGGTAGTGATTATACCCAAGAATCCCTGGTCTACGGTGACGTGTATTCGTGGATGGATTCTGTTGGTTCAAGTCCTTCAAAACTCCTCTCGTTTGTTTCTGTATTTCTATTTTGGCATCTATGGAGCAATTGCACAATGGGAAGAAAAATATGTGAATTCTAAATGCATCTGAAATTTGGGTTGTAAAACAAATTAGCACAACTTACTTTCAAGCCTTTCAAAGGCCAAAAAGAACTCCTCGGGGTCTTTCAATTGTTTAATGTTGAATGTTGCCTCCAAGTTAACAGCAGGTTGTCTATCAGATAACGATATCATAAAAGTCAACCAGATTTTTTTTTCCTTTCTTAAGAAAAGGCAGGTAAATTATATGCATTACCTAGTATCAGGTTTTAAAGAAAACCTTGCCCGCTTACGGTTTAATGCTGGCCTTCTTTCTTGTGGATTTTCCTCCACCTTTGCTGTAGTTTCTTTGTTTTCATCATCATGTACAAGAAATGTTGCAATTTCAGAGTGCATCACATTTGAGTTACCGTCTAAAATGGCTCTGGCCTGCTCTATAAGTTTACTAGGACTTCTTGAGACCTGGAAATTTAGGAGATCCATGAGCTGTTGATCCTCAATTAAGCCAAAACTAGATACAAACTGCTTCATGAGGAGGCAAGATGATGTGAGACGGAAAACTAAAGGGCAGAAATGAGAAGCAGGGTTGTAACACCATAAACTCCAGTACTCTTGCATCTATACACTTAAAAAAATAACAATAAATCATAAATAAATAAGCGCCCGTCTTAAACCAACGAACGAACATGCCCGGAAGTTTCTCGGATCCCAGTTCACAAATCAGAAGAGCTAATCCGCTTTTACCACCAAAAACCAGAGAGTATGCGTTGCATTTTAAGGAAAGAAGAAACCATCATATACAAAACCCAAAACATTTTAATCCCTCACATTTTCACAGTAACCAGAAAACAGTCCACTTTAACCATTGAGCTAAAATTTTACCACTACAATGGAGAACCACACCCACTCACTGGCAGACTAACAACAGTGGAGCAGAATATGTATTTCAATTCTCCTCCCAAAACATGGCAAAAAACACCTCGGGGGATTGAACATAACCGCTCACGAAGCTCTTGGCAAGCAAGAGGCACTATAAACCAAATATACTGATAACTTGGAAACTTCATAGACAATGAATCTGGAAGAAAACAAATACCATCGACTTGAGGTGCTTGTGGATGTCGTCGAGGCCAGTTCCAAGATCATGTGGCTTTGAATGATCAGGTAAAATGCCAAATGTGCTGGGGAAGAGGTTGATGCCAGAATAAGCAGCAAGAGGATCAATTACATCGGAGTCTCGAGCTTCTTCGTTCACCATTGTTGCACTCTCTAATATTCGAACCGAACCCTAGAGCGACTGCGTAATTCGAAAGTAAGAACCAGAGCGCGAAATCTTCGTATTCTTCCGTTTAAATTTTTATTGTTTTGCAGATGAGGTCCTTAAACTTTTCCATTTTTCCTTTAGTAGACTTATTTCTATTGCCAAAGTAATTTTAAAATCCCAACCATTAACAAAATAATTTTAAAATAATATTTTTTATATTTACTTCCAATTTTAGTTTATTTTAGACTATGTACTTTTAAAAGGCTAGTATCCATCCATTTACTAATAATTTTGATTTTTTTTTACAAAATTTTAACATAATTTCTACCCCTAACATGAACGTTTTAATATAAAGTGATAATTACATTTCAAAAAATATATTAAGTATAGCTTCGTGTTGAAATTGTGATAGAAAAATAATATTAAAAATAAAATTAATAAACCAAAATARTCCTTTTTAARAAGGAGGGACTAAAATAGACATTTGAGAGTACTGGAATTGCAATAAACCAAAGTTGAAAGTGTGTTAATCAAAATAAAATTTTAAAAGTATACGAACCACCATTAAACTATAGTACGATGATTAAAATAGTATTTTAATTTATTTTAAATAAAATGGTGTTTAATTAAAAAGACATTTAAACCAACATGATTGGTTAAGCTAACATCTACTAAATGTTTTTTTAATCATAATTATGAAGGAAAAAATTAGGAAAATTACTCTTTTTTTTTAATATCCCAGTTTATTCTACTTAAATAACTATTATTTCTGTAAAAATATAATTTTATTTCTCACAAGAATTTACCAAAAAAGAAAAAATCTGTTTACAGAAAATTGGACTAATTAAAAAGAAATATGAGCCCAAAATACGAATCGATGAATTTCAGCGGCGGAAGTATGAAATGGAATAGTTTCTATATTTGGGAACGGGGAAATGTGGCAGTCGCGCGGCGGGGCTAAGCGCTGATTGCTGACTTTGCGAATCGACTCAGGACCTTCCGAGTGAACTCAGTGAAATTGAATTTAGGTATTGTGTGTATCATCGTCTTCCTGCAATCTCTGCTGTTTGATTCCGAACGCTCTTATGTCAATGATCAAATTTCACTGCAGTGAGACGATTTCATGACAAACTTTATGCATTTTTGTACAATTTGAGTATTGACCTCATTTCAGCTTGAAACTTCCGTTTTCGTGCAAGTTGGCTTACAAATGTTGCATTAATTTCGTATAATTTTTAGCTATATTTTGCTTAATGGGATACATCGACGACATGAAGTCGACTAGTTTTGGCTAGGCTGGAATGGGATACATCAACGACATGAATTCGACTAGTTTTGGCTAGGCTTAGTGAATTTTGTCTCTATGTTCCTGCCTTCTATCTTGTCAATAATTTGAAGTTGTTTCGGAATTGTAAAACAGCATTCGTTATATTTGCAGGCACCTCTTTGAGCATTCTAATAATGGTGCTTGGAGCGCGAATTTCTCTCAGAGTATTCTTTCAAGTCGTCGAGTCATTGCAGCTGAGATGAACTGATAGATTTTAGGCTTGTGGTAGAAATAATATCGTTTTAGTAGGATCCTTTATGTCAAATTCGAAGACTAATTTGGGTGGTGGCAGTGCTAAGCGCAGTCTTCCTTCATGGATGAGTGGGAAGGACGATGGGAGTACTTCTCGAGGCAAGAAACCTACCAGTTCTGGTTCTGGTGGAAATGAAGTGATTGCCGAAGCAGAAGAGGGTAAGCAAGGGAGTGGAAACGGTGAAGACCCAATCAGCAGTTCATTACACCGAGATTTCTCCAAACTTCTGGTTCACTCATTGTTTCCCTTCACCCCCTCTGTTTCCTATTGATGTGTCATTTCTACAGATTTTAATAATTTACACTAAATTAAAATACCAACGTTGTACTGCAGGAAGGAGTAGTATTCGTGTTATCAGGGTTTGTTAATCCCGAGCGCAGCATTCTTCGGTCCCAAGCATTAGAAATGGGAGCTCAATATCAACCGGATTGGAACTCGGATTGCACTTTGTTGATCTGTGCGTTCCCAAATACTCCAAAATTTCGACAAGTTGAATCAGATTGCGGAACAATAGTATCAAAGGTTTTTTCCTATTTAATGAGAACTTGAACTTTAACCAAGTGAGTTTTTCAAAGAAATTTGTGTTGGTTTTTGATGTGTAGGAATCTGAGAGTCAGTAACTCACGATATATCTGATGCCAGATTTGACTAAATGGAACAATTGAAGGCAATATGCTGGCAGTCAATTTATCAGTTTTGATGATATAGGATAACTTTTCTGTTCTATTTTAGTAGGTTCTGAAAATTCTGTGGTTATTTTGAAATATTCCGAGTCTTGATTTTGTCATTGGCTTATTTTCTAGTGTGATCATATGTATTATTCCTGCATATAATATGATATTGATCAACAATTAGGCAGTGTGCTTCCCTTTCGAGTGCATACAATATCTGCACATTTGTTTCTTTAGATTTAGATTTTTCTATAAATCAACTCTAGAATCTCAAACTTTTACTTGCCGACCAAACCATTTTCTGGTTGTGTCATTGGTCGGTACCATACATGTTTTCAAACTTTAGATTTAGGTTCTCAGTAATCGTATTCTGTGTACTTCGTTAGGAGTGGATTTCAGGTTGTTATGCACAGAAGAAGCTCATTGACATTGAAAGCCACCTTCTGCATGCTGGAAAACCATGGCGAAGAAGCAACCTTTCACATGAAGCCCGCCAAGGTGATCTAGAAATGCCTACATTTGCATAGCTGTTAGTTCCAAGAAACGTTTATGTAAAAATTAATGTTAGACATAGCCACCGTAACCATAGGTTGGCACAATATTTATAGCTAAAGAGGCAAATCGTATGTTCAAATACCTTTGAAGTCATGAATTCACAGGTATCTGTCAATTATGGATATTTTTTGTTGATCTACCACGAATTTTTTTTAACAGCAAACAAACGTCTCAGTGATGATATGTAAATAAAAAGAGAGAAAAACTAAAGGAGCTTACAAAAAAGCAGCTCCAATTAGTTGCAATCATAAAGGTATTATAATCACATAAAAGGAAGAAATTGTACACCAAAATGACCCTGGAATTTTAATTTCTTCCTAAATCCCAAATCTCCTACCACCCTCAATAGTTTCTTCGATGTTTTTTTATTCTTTCCTATCAAACCTTCCAAATAAGCATTTTTACTGCACAAAGCCACAAAACCTTAACTTTTTGTAAAATGGATGCCACAAAGGAGTTGCACAACATTTGCAGCAAGGGAGTCTACCATACCACAGCCTTGGTGGAACTCCTAAAAAACCTCACTCCAGCACCTATAAGTGATCTTACAGCTAAAGAAAAGGTGGTTCTCAGTTTCACTGTTCTTGCATGAGATGCACCAACTAGGAGATGAGTAGTAGCATAAGGGCTTATTTTCTGAATATCATCCTTTGTGTTGTGCCCACTCTAGATCATAGGCTGAACAAAGAACTTGTCCTTTTTAGAATACTAAGACCACCAGTACCAACTACATAGTGTATACTACATTTCAATGAATTTGACGAATGAATTAGACACATAAAATTTGTTGAATGATGGTAAAGAGAAAGAAGCAATCTATGCCTGTACCTACTTGCTTTTATTATAGAATTGCATCATGGGTAATATTGACATATGCTATGGCTATGTAATACGGATGGATGTCATGACTTTGGAACTCAAAGTCCTATGCCTATCATTTCGTTGGTTTCCTGGTTTTTTCTAAGTTTTGATGTTGTTGTGCCTTCATCATATACCCAATGCTGAAGAAGCATTTCCAAATTTCCCATCCTTCATATTCATCCCGGATATGTGGTTGCAGCTAAGATTGCATCGTCATCCAAGAAACCTCAGAAGCCAGTTGAAAGAACTTCACATTTAAAACAAAATGAGCAAGATATATCTCAGGTAAATAGTCTGATACTTGTGAAACTCGATATTATTATATCATATCTTTGTTCTTCCATCCTGATTTGTATGCTTTATGTGGGAGCTAACTAACAAAGCTAGACCTTATGTGGGAATGCAGATTATTCTTCAGCTACACTTTTTATATTCATATAAATGTCATTGCTGATATATAGCTATTACTTTTTATTGTGCACTATTGCAGAGTAGAGATAATAATTCTTCAAGAGAGTGCTTTTCTCCTCCGAAATTGAAGAAATGGGCTACTGATGATTACAATAAAACAATTTCCTGGCTGGAGAGTCAAGAAGAAAAGGTTAGATCAAATGTGCAAGATATATGTTTTACTTTTTTTATGCAGCCAGTGGTACATGCGAGTTAGTTGACAACCTGGAATTGTCTATCTAAATTGCTTAGATGGTTTTAGGAGTCATGGAACTCTTCCTTTTGCACGCTTAAAGTTTGTATAATGGTGAAATCTCTTTGATTTTATTTTGATTTTGTTTTGATTTTAATTCTTCATTTTAAAACTTTTGTAGCCAGATCCAAGTGAGATAAAGAAAATAGCAGCAGAAGGAATTTTAACTTGTTTACAAGATGCTATAGATTCTCTTCATCAAGATCAGGTAGACAAATTTTCTCCTGCAGGCGATGATGTAGTTATGATTAATTCATACATCCTTTGCAGCACTATGCTAGTAAATGCATTGCTAATACTATGGTAATGTGTGAAAAATATCAATGACTGAGTAGTAGATTTGTTTGTTACGTTTCAAGCATCTTGTTGGGATTGCCCTTTAACAAAAAGCCTTTTCAGATTGCGACTGTCCTCAAATAGTTGAAGAATCCTATTTACTTATTATTAAATTCTTCAAGATTTACCTTCATCAATTTCTTCTGAGGGTTTTAGTTATTAGCAAGTGAATTGTGCCTGGTAAGTCACATCTTCGGCTAGTTATGAATGCAGTATTTGAACATTGTTGTTCTAGGCATGGGTCACTTCTTTTTCTTTTTTTTTTCCCTCCTGTGGAGCAAACAGAATTTGTTAGTCGTTCTCTGGTAAGTATCCTTTGCCCCTGCATTATTTGAGCTGGCTATTTTGTATAAGATTATGTAGCTCAAGCCTCGCATCATTTTCTAAATGATCTCTAGTGTGAGAAAACAACTGATATGAATGACCAATCAACAATGCTATGAAATACCAGCTACTCAAACCTGGACATCATAGCTCATTGCAGCTCAACTCGAGAACCACCGGACTTTTTTCTCTCCCTACTTTTTGAAAGTTTTCTGTTGGTCGAAAATTAGTTCAAGTTCAATTGGTACTTTCAAGCGGTCCTCATAAATCTTATATTGCCACTTCTTTCATTATGCTCAACCAAATATCTTCGCATTCTGCTTGCATACTTCGTTCTCAGTTATATTTTATTTAATGCGAAGGTAACAAAGGTGTCTGCTTTTATCCCTAGATTGGCACTTGATCCTTATTTAATTCGTATCCAGGACATCAATCAAGTGACAGAGGAGTGGAAATTTGTTCCTCAGGTGGTGGAAGAGCTGGCAAAGCTTTGCAGTAAGAAAGAGTCAATATCAAAGGAGGAACTTCGCAGGCAAGCTATAGATTCTAAAAAGATTTATGAAGTAGAACTTAATTTTCTACTTGACAATTCCCCAGATAGAAAGAAGAGGCCAAATATCAGCAAAGAACTGAAAAATGGTTGTAAGGAAAAGGAAGATGAGCGTGTCGCACGAGGATATGATAGCGATGACACGATTGAGATGACGGAGGAGGAGATTGACCTTGCATTCCAGAATGTAGCTTGTAAGAAGACTTAGCTGAGGTCCTTTTCACTTCTTGGTTTATGAAGCGAAAACTCTTCTGCTGTATGTATTGCCATGATCTGCCTATTTCAATCTTACAAGTCCATTTTTGTTGTTCCTATATTTCTGTGCCTCTCAAGTTTATTCTTGCATGACTGGTGATTTGCGATGATCCTTTTGTTTATTGGAATGGTCTGCCTTTTCCTGTTTCCATAAAGGAAAGGAGGTCCTATTGGAATGGTTTAAGTTGAAGTTTGAAAGTGTGGATAAGCTAAATCACGCAAACATATAGGTCGTTTAATACCATTCTCATTTTTTGTTTCAATTCTGTTTCTTTATTTTTAATAAAGAAAAATAGAATTGCATTGCCTCGATATCTATAGATTTAATAATCATAAAATAATATGTTTATATGTGTTTTTTAACAAATTACGAATAATAACCATAAACAAAAAAAATTTATTGTTTCTAAAATTTCTATATTTCAACAATGTTTCTACAGATAGATAGACAATAAATATAAATAGTTATTAAATGCTTATGTTTCATTATTACTATTTGGTTGTGGAGAACAAACTAGTGGCGGTCAAGAGGAGGGAATGAATAGATGGGAATAGGAAAGATCCAAAGGTGATTTCCTAGATGTACTCTCCAATTCGCTTTCCTTGATACTTTTCTTGACTTATCTTGGTTKGAAAATGATAAATAAAAATCAGGCCTATAACTTTACAATTTGAACCTTTAACTTATAAATGGTGCAAGTAATGTTTTAATTATTTCAAAATGTATATATTAATCAATTGAGATGACACGTCTTGTTGGTATCTATTTTGATTCTTAACTTTCACGAATACATTGTTTTCATTGTTTAGAAATGACATTGGAAGTGAACATTTTCTTTTTTTTATATTATAAAACTTGCTATTTTGACATTTTTGTCTTCAAAATTACATAGTATACATTGGAGAATAATAATTCCATGAATGTTTGAATTTTGTATTTTAAAAGTTACTTACAGTTAAAGTTAATCTTGCACCCGCGGATGTTGGCACGGTGACAAGAGGGTTGGGTGTTGACACCCAATATTTAGGTTCGAGTCCTCCCGTGTCTAGTAATAAAAAAAAAAGGTTAATCGGTTAATCTCGATTCTCAGTATAGGAATCATGAATCTAATAGTCGTTAAAAATTTGATATATTTTTTATATTAAAATTTTCCTATTGAATATTTGTCTAACACCCTTAATAACCTCGAGCCACCCCTGCTTCATAGCAAAATCAAATATTATCATTATTTTATTTTAATAGTTTATTGACGTCATACGAAAATTTAAACATGTTCTATAATATTTTTTAATTTCTAATATGTATATATATTTGCAAAGGGCACTCAATGTAAAGTCAACAATGTAGTGAGCAGACGAGCCCAACGATTTAAATGTTGGCCCAAATAATAAGCAAAGCTTGCTAAAAAAAATAATAATAATAATCAAAGCGGGGTACACAACAAACAAAAAAATAAAATTATATATATATATATATGTCACGTATATATTTATGAAGGAATTCCTTAATGTTATTTAGTTGGTGTTATTTTAATATCAGTTTTAAAAAATAGGTTAGTCATTGATTAATAATACCAAAAGTATTATTTCGGTTAAATTACACATTTCTCCCTATATTTTGAACGCAGTTTTAACCRGATATACTATGATTTAGGTTTGTGTTCGAAATTTAAACTTCATGGGTGCAGTTTTAATTTAATATATATGATCTACCTAAACCTAAAACGTTAACGATCTTTTTTTTTTTATCATATTGATTTATTTTTTGTTCACTTGACAACAACTTAGGTGTGTTCAGGTGTCAAAATCTCATCATTCTTCTTKATCATGCTTGACAAATTATAATTTTGATTTTTAAAGTATCAATTTGATGGTGGTTTTGGAAAATCAACAATAGTTAATTTTTGKTTTTTTCCAAAATTATATATTATATCCTCACTCCCAAATGCATGATTCATGYAGACACCTATTTGTTAGTTTAAATAATATAGAGTCAAGTAAAGAGTAGACTAAAATATATGAGTTTATCGGATGGTATACAGATAGTTCAGGGTCATTTTAGAAGACTTAACTAAGTTGTGGGAATGAAAGTTAAAAATTTTAAGCTAAAACGTAGACAATAAATAGCAGCTTAAAAAAAAGGCAAAGGCAAGTACCAATTTAAAGATATGTCAGAAGTAATATAGACAAAACAAAATAGGTCAACAAGTATCTTGTATTCTACATAACTAGTTTATATGATTTGAGAAATTTTTCTYCATGTAGTTTTTGAAGTTTCAATGTAGTCCATGTAATTTAAAAATCGTCCATATAATTTGGACTCAGTCTAGTCCTAGTTCACATGATTTAAAAATTTAAATTCTTATTTAATCCAATTTCACAAATTAGCAACCTCATTACCATATTGACAGAATTTTTATTTTTGCATGGTAGCTTTCTAATTACGGATCGTATTAGTTAATTGTATAATGATTTAAGGTCGAGTAAAAAATAAACATGTTTTTTCTAGYAGGTCGAAGAAAACAAAATTTAAGAACATATTTAGCCCAATCATCAAATCTAAATTAAAACGAAACCTAAATGATACAAACCAATTTGAAAATAAAATCAAACCATGGATACCTAATTAAAAATGTTAAAATCATAAACATAAAATGGCCCAAATCAAAATTTGCCATTTACCAGTATTTTATTGTTTTTGTTTTTGTTTTTTTTTAATTCCGACGAAAAACACCCTACGACCAGAACCCAAATTATTCGAGGAAGTCCACGCGCGCACATTGCAGTGTAAATAGCAAATTATAAATATAATTTCCTAAACATTTCCATTAATTATCTATTTATTTATTTAAAYAAATATAATAATTTTTTCCCCTTCTCCTTCCCCGTAGGGTTGCAGCAGATAAACGCCACCACTCCACAAGCACCTGTCTCTATAAACTCAGAACTACAAGAAGCTCAAGCTTTTCCTTTTCACTTCATTTTCACTCTCCTTATTTTTCTCTCTCTCGCTCTTCCTCTTCCCTCCCTCTCTCCTCTGCAACAATGGGTGCCTCACTTCCACCCAAGGAGGCCAACCTCTTCAAGCTCATCGTCGTAAGTTCTCGATTGCTTTCTCCTATCTCCTCCTGCTTCATCATCACTTTAATCATACTTCGATCGAACTGGAATAGTTGTATCCCTTCTTCTTGTTTTCGTACAACAAAAACCCTAGATTCTTTGCTCAACTTTCTGCTGGTTTTGTCTGTTATGCCATTCAGAAACGTGGGCAATAGAGGAAATTTTGGAGTTTTCTTYTTGAAATTGCATTTATGTTTTCTGAGTACTTGTAAACGAGTAAGCTAGTTCTYGTGTTAATTGGGTCGTGTACTGCTCCACTACGTGCTACTAAGTCGTGATTTGTTCACTTTGTAGTTTGTGTGATATTCATCAGCTGTACTATTGATCAATACTGAGAGATTGTTGCAAACATAATCGAGTATTGTGTTTTTTGTTTATTTGGTATTACGCTTGTTGCAGAAATCATACGAAACAAAACAGTACAAGAAGGGCCTGAAAGCAGCTGATCAAATATTGAGAAAATTTCCCGAACATGGAGGTACTTCCAACTCATGGCTAATGCTTATTCAATTCGAAGTCTATATCTAACATCAGGGCAGAAAGCATAGACATCAAATGGACGAGTACTATCTGTCATTTCCTATTGTCTTTTTTACTCTCATGAGTAATTTTTGTTCCCCCATGATATCAGAAACTTTATCCATGAAGGGTTTAACATTAAATTGTATGGATCGTAAAGCTGAGGCATATGAACTTGTTCGTCTAGGTTTAAAGGTTGGTGTGCCTTCTTACTGTATTTGAGATATATTGTTTRATAGCAGCTGATCCATAATATAGTTCGTGGCCATCTAACTTATTGTTTTGATGCAGAATGATCTCAAAAGTCATGTTTGCTGGCATGTTTATGGTCTCCTATATCGTTCGGATAGAGAATACAGAGAGGCAATTAAATGTTATCGAAATGCCCTGAAAATAGATCCTGACAATATTGAAATATTACGTGATCTGTCACTTCTACAGGTTTGAACTTTATGCTACTTCTTTTAACCTACGGTTTTTTTTTTTTTTGCATTATCATTATATTTGTGCAACACAGAAACACCCTTTGTTGCTTCTGAATCTTGACTATATTGGTGAAATTTGGATGATACTTTTAGCCATCAACAAATATAATTTTTACAAGAGCCTATATTTGATTTAGAGAAACTATTATGTTGATAGAATGAAATTTACGGAACCTAATAGTCAAATTGAGGTTACTAATAGGACAATGATTTTTTGCTTAAGTAGAACCAAATAGTGCTAAACCTCGCAATGCATTTTTGTATTATTAACAAAACATCAATTTGACCATTAATTCCTGAAATATCATTCTGTCAATGGGAGTTTACACTAGCTCAAGCAGAGTTTTCTTTTAACTATATGCAGTATTGTTCAATAGGCAAATCATCCTTTGAAGTTGTCTATCCTTAGGTTTCAAGTGAATCTTCCACTTGGTGTTGATATAGATGTGGAAGCTTCTGCTATGCTGAAGAAATAGCACAAATGTATGCTGAAGTAAGTATCAACTTGCAGAAAGCCAACCAAAAGTATACGGTAGTCGATGATATTAAGGAATGAAGAAAAGAGTTTGAAATGGGTACTCTAGCCTTGGTCCATCTAGAAAAAAAGTAGGTTTCCAGTTGGGAGTTGAAACAAATTGAAGAGAAAATGGATTGGACCGTGTTGATTATTATGCATGGAATCTTTTTTCATAATCATAGTTAACGTAGCCTCAGGGAAGGATGAGTCCATCATAAGGGGGAAGGGAGGAAATTTGTATCGCTCAGGATTGTTGTCATTTTGCTTTTTCTTTTTGCATTTGTTACTACTTTAAATAGTTGGTTGGGTGGTTCAAAGTTAGTTATTTTATGATTCGGTTGGTTGTTTTCTTTTTTGGGAAAAAATTTTCATTGATAATATGAAAAGAAAATGATCAGGAAACAAACTTCTGAGGGAGCGAGAAGGAAAAGGAAAAGGAAAGGAATTTTTTTCTATAGGATATGRAATTTACAAAAGGATTAAATCCTATCCAATAAGTTATGAAAAACTTCTCTAATTGCTTATAAGATAATTGAAGCTATAGTTGACAGAAGGAGTGACATAGATTCTATCACATGTTGAGGAGAGGTTTCGTTGTCATTGAAGAGCCTAGCGTTGCTCTTGTTCCAAATTGACCAAATGAAGGCTCAAGTGAAGGCTCTGTTGATGTGAAGCCAAAGGGTTTCCTTTTCTTGCTTGAATGGTGATGAAGGAGAATCAATGCCATCCAATCTTGAAAATCATTTGGTAGAATCACTGACCATCCAAAGATGGATAAAAACTGGTTCCAAATCTTAGATGTGAAAGGACATTACATGAAAATGGRAGCCTTAGATTCAGTTTCTGCTTTGCACAAACAACACCTAAAAGGGGAGATAGACCACCAGGGACACCTTCTTGTAGCTTATCAAAGGTGTWTAGGCATTTGTGGTTGAGCTCCCAAATTAGAAATTTAACATTTTTTGGATATGAGGCCTTCCTAGTTTGAATAGATCATTTGAAGGGGAAGCCATCCTTGCTGCATGCTTTTGGTAAAAKATTTGGTTGTAAAAAGGCCATGATGTTCTAGTTTTCAAAGCMATAAATCCGCTCCATCTGTTGGGTTGTAAGAGGACAGTAGAGTTGATAAAGATGCCGATTTTTCAATTTCTATATCTTTTAGGTTCCTACGAAGATCCATTTTCAGCATTCCATAATTTAGCCACTGATGCATTCTTAGAGCAAGCTTGGCAGTTTAATAAGGGGCAGTCCATGATTAGTGGGTTTTTTTCCAATCCAGTGATCTGTCCAGAACATAGTAGATCTACCAAAAAAAAGAACAAGCTCAACAAGGAGCATTACAATGATAAGAAGATATATAAATAAAATACAAAACAATGAGCCAACAAACTAAAGAATCCGGGACAGCAGAACCAATAAATCACAAGGCTCCACCAAACAACCCAAAAGTAAAACTCCATGATGAAAAGAACACTCRACCACTGGAGCCACCCAATCGAAGGAGAAGCAACCCAAAAAAGCCACTTGGAGCTAACAATGCCCAAAGAAAAAKACCTTCGGTCATTAGACTATCTCTCTCTGAGAGAGAACCCAATGCATTATCAAAATGTTCTTGTTTATTGCCGATTTGACCCTTTGTGTGCTGTATGATTCGATTGGTTGTTGTAAAAGTAGATAGTTGTTACCAGTGATGGTTATATTGGGAGTATGTGTGTTTGGATTTCCAACCACTTGYTGTAAAGTTCCAAACCTTTATGCAATAATGACCAATGGGGAAATGTGCTTTTGACTATTGGGATGGTTAGCTTGTCTAGATGATTTTTGGATGAATGCAGTCAAAGTTATTATTTCAAAAATGTGGTTTTGACTTTTGACTAAAAAGTTAGAAGTATTTGCTTGGTTAGCTTGTCTTCATGGTCTAAATTTATTCKGCYAGCTCTAGAGGAGACGTCCCATGTTGGCCATGCATCCAGGAGATGTTCATTATTTGGAATCTTATTTTTTTGAATTCGAAACCACCTTTCATTGATAGACGAGAAGACAAAATGTTTAGAAAAACGATCTCCGAGTTTGCAGACGACACTATTTTCTTTTGTTCTGGTAAGGAAAGTGCTTTTATGAACTTGAATTGCCTCCTAGRTTTCTTCGAAACTTTATCGGGTCTTAAGATAAATAGAGGAAAAAGTTCGTTGTTRGGGGTTAATTGTGACGCTGATWAGCTTAGAGAGTTGGCGACCCTCGTTGGGTGTGAAGTTGGTGAGTTCCCTTCCTCTTATCTTGGTCTTCCCTTAGGTCATAACCCAAAAAGTTTGATGTTTTGGACGCTGGTGTGTGAGAAATTACAGAAGCGCCTTTCCTCTTGGAAAAAATCCTTCTTTTCTAAAGAAGGCAGACTCACTTTAATACATTCTGTCTTGAGGGGTATCTCGACGTATTATCTTTCCCTCTTTAAGATCTCAGTGGCAGTTAGTGAGACCTTAGATAAAATCATGAGGGATTTTCTTTGGGAAGGTGTGGAAGAGGGGGGTGGCGCTCATCTGGTGAGTTGGAAAGAGGTTACGAAGCCCCTGGATGTGGGAGGTTTGGGTATTGAGAATTTAAGGCTTAGGAACGAGGCTTTCTTGGCTAAATGGTCATGGCGTTTTTTCCATGAACCTAACGCCTTGTGCCGAAGGATTATTGTGAGCAAGTATGGGTCTCATTCGTTTGATTGGGTTTTGGCAGGTGGGTCTAAGGTGATCAATTATAATCCTGAGAAGACTATGGCTTTGGGTTTTCTCGTCTTTTCTTATTCYATACATTCTGTGGTGGGGGAGAGTCGTAACACTTACTTCTGGGAGGATACTTGGGTAGGAGATRAACCTCTTTGTATCGCGTTCCYTGGCTCTACCATCTTTGATCTTTCTGAAAAGAGGCTTCATTCAGTGGCCGAGCTTTTGAATCCTCGGGGAGGGGTTCCTTCTATTTCTTTGGGCTTTACTCGTGCCTTAACGGACCGGGAAACCTTAGAGGTGTCCGTTTTGCTTATTCTGGTGTCCGAGGTGTCCTTATTCCYTGGGAGGGAGGATGTGAAGGTTTGGACCCCCAGCCCGTCGAAAGGCTTTCTTGTAGTTCTTATTATCTCATATTGAGCTCCCCGTTTTCTTCTTCTCTCCCTTCGACCCCTTGGTTCGCCTATCTTTGGAAGATTAAAGCTCCTAAGAAGATCAAGTTCTTTGGGTGGCAAGTTCTTCTGAGAAAAGTCTTTGGAACAAACTCTTACCACTATTTGGATGGTCGGCTGCCCTTCCCACCAATATGTCTCAACTGCTTGCATCGATTTTTGTGGGCCACCCATACAAGAAAGAAAAAGCCAGCCTTTGGATCCACTTCATTCGGGCTCTTCTTTGGACTACATGGAATGAACGGAACCGTCGAATCTTTCAAGATTTGGAGCGCACACCACATGCCACTTTTGAATCCATTGTTTTTTTGGTCATTACTTGTTTTGTTTTAAATGCTCACCCCTCTTCCACTCGTATAGCTTTGCCTTCTTAATGACAAATTGGAGAGCTTTTTTGTAACCCGCCTATGGGTTCTCATTCTTTTTGTAATCATTTCTCCCTCCTTTTTTCAATTATATCAATGAAATCATTTCGTTTCAAAAAAAAGTTCTTCTGGGAAAAGTCAATACCTTGGATCGTATCCAGAGGATGTCGGCCTTTTGTTTGGGTTCGCAGTTGTGCGTTCTCTGTAAGAGCGTCTCAGAAGACCTTGATCATTTGCTGTAGACTTGTCAGTTTGCTYAGGATCTCTGGCATCGTTTCTTTATGTGTTTGGGATGTCCTGGGTTCATGCTAGGGATTGTAGGCTATGATGGAGGAGGTGCTTTTATACCCCTTTCGGGATAGGGGTCGTATTTTGTGGCAGGCTTGCTTTCTAACTATTTTATGKGGTATTTGGCTGGAAAGGAATCATAGATTGTTTAGGGGGTAAAAAGTCCGTGGACTACGTTTGGGATATCGTTAGATTTAATACTTCGTTATGGGGCTCGGTTTCTAAGCCTTTTGTAATTATTCGCTAGRCTTTATTCTTTTGGATTTGAGTCCTTTTCTTTAAGGGGCTTCCTCTYTCAGGGCTGTTTTTGTATGCCCTTTAGGCTTTTTTTGTAGCCCTTGTATCTTTTTTTCATTTTCTTCAATGAAAGTTTTGTTTCTTATAAAAAAACGATCTCCCATAAAGAGCATTGTTTGGAAGTTTGTGAAGATTTGGATTGTCTATTTCTTTTTTCAGTGTCCTTATCATGAAGAGTTTTAATGTTTTCTTCTACTAATATTTTGACTGTTAAGGAATTTTTGACTTGCTTTTGAAGATCAATATCATATTTTTTCTTTTATTCATTCGCACAAAAATGTTGGTAGCTCTTGTTCGTGGTCCAATCTTTGATTATGACTTGCATGRTTGGTAAAGGATCCAAGTGATTGATAAATGATCCAACGATGATATTCTTCAACTCCTATAYGTGATTTTCTATTAGAACAATTYTGTCKGGGTATTCTCCGATTTGTGCTCTCACCAGAGGCTTATGGTTGTTCTTTTCTCCTGTTTGAWGTGGTTTTGGTTGTTTCAGCTCGTCGTTTTGTCAAGTTAGTAGGYGTTTTGTTCTTTAATGACTTATTCTATTGTGATTTTTGAAGATTTGTTCTTTATTGGCTGTTTTGTCCTTTTTAGCTCCCTTCTGGAGTTTGTATTCTTGAATATTTTTGTTCCGCTTCATCTATCATGGAAAAGTTTGTTTCTTGTTAAAAGAAAATTGTGGTAACAAGCTCAAGTCTAAAGTCCAGATGATYTGGATGAATGCAGTCAAAGTTATTATTTCAAAAATGTGGTTGGAAAGAAATCAAAGGATTTTTAAGGACAGAACTCTAGAGTGTTAGAGTGGATCTAGCTAAATATAAAACATCTTGGTGGTGTTGTTTATCTTCAATTCTTGTTAACTATTCCTTAAATAACATTTGTCAAAATTGTGCCCTTCTTGCCACTTTGATCTATCTTTAGATGGTAGACGTTTCCCATTTACTCCTCAAGCAGTCAGTAACTTTGAACATATATGTAACGTTTCAAGAAAAGTTTGTTTATTGCACAAAAGTATGTGTTGGAAGATATTGTGTATCGAATGTGTCTTGGTCACCTTTTCAGGCAGAAAGCAAAGAGATGTTGGACAAATTTAATCAAATTAATTATTTATGTATATGGGAAAGGAACCATATAAATTTTAATGGGTAAGCAAAAGACTGGAGCCGTAGGGAAATATTTGAGTTAGTTCAATTGAATTTACCCTTCTTGGTTTGTTTAGATTTTCCTTTTAGATTTTTTTTTGTTTTTGGTGTATTCTATCTTCTTCACTTGCAATTACTCTTGAATTGATTTTTTCGGGATTGGGGGCCTTTTTGCAATAATGGCCTTTTTTGGGGGAGAATTATCGACTTGGGGGGTTCTTCTTAATCTCCTAAAAGGAGTTTTGTAATGTAGTTTCTATTGCACCTTTTCAATTATCAATGTAAATTTTATTTCTTAAGATAAAGACCTGTTACCTGAAAGTATTGAACAAGTTTACTTTGATTTTGGCTTTTCTAGGTGTTTTGGAAGGCGTAAATTATGTCACTCGAATTGTTTTTTATCCTAAATTAAGGGGAAATGATTTTGCATTTTGATGAAAATTTTGTGTTATCTATTTTGAGAGGTTTGGAAAGACAAAAATATAAGGATTTTCATGGAACTTATCTATGGAAGGGCGTATGGAGACAACTGAATATTAGGGTTCTAATTGTAGCACTTCATTGGCATCCTTTTGTAATTGCACCATTTTGCAATATTTGTTTTATTATCTCTAGTTGTGCACTTTTTTGAGAGCCCTTTGGGGCTATGCCCTTTTGTAGTTTTTACGCATCAACTTAAAGTTTCATGTTTCAATTTATAAAAAAAAAAAAGAAAAGAAAGAAAAGAAACAACAGAGCTTTAGAGAGTCGTGGCTTGATTAATGACAAGATTGCCTCCAAAAAAGAATAGGGCTATTTCCTCCCACGTGATGRTGATCTTTATTTGATGTGTTATGTCTTAATGACTTTATCATTATGATGCAATCATTTTCTTCATTATTTGATTTTTTGGGCATGCTTTTGGCTAATTATTCTGATCTTTAATGTTTCAGGCCCAAATGCGAGACTTGAAAGGCTTTGTTGAAACCAGACAACAACTTCTGACCTTGAAACCAAATCACCGCATGAATTGGATTGGATTTTCTGTTGCTCATCACTTAAATTCGAAGTATGATCCCATCAATTTGACTTGTAATTATATGTTCTGTTGTTCTATGGATTATTTGGTCCATTTATTCCATGATGTTTTATAATTTTGGAGGTGGTTCTGTTCCACCCTTCCTTCCAGGGGGAAGGGTAAAGTTGTTTGGTGGGCTGGTTGTTTTGCCGATGTTATGGTTGGATCGAGAGGAATAATAGAATATTTGGGGGATGGGAGGGGAAGGGTCTTGGGATTATGCCCGCTTTTTTGTTCTTTTCGTTGGCCTGTTGGTGAGTCCTTTTGAATTGTTTCACCCTCCCTTTCGGGAGAAGGGTAAAGTCCTTTGTCGGACTAGTTTTTTTCATTATTATGGTGTATTTGCATTGAGAGGTATAATAAGCAGAGGGGAGGGGGAGGAAGTCTGGTCTTTGGTTAGGTTTAGTGCTTTGCTGTGGGCCTCTATTTCGAGGGACTTCTGTAGTTATTCGCTTGGTCTTGTTCTTTTGGATTTGAGCATTTTCTGGTTCGGTTAGGCTAATTTAGGCTCCTTGTTGGTTTGTTGTTTTTGTATGCYTGCTTTTCTGTTCTCTTTGTTTGCCCGGTTGTGGGCCCTTTTKAATTCTTCCATTTTTTTCAATGAAAGTTTGATTTCTTTCGATAAWTTTTTTTTTTATACAAATGAGATGTCTAAATTTAMGAAACCCTATCTTAGAAAAAGAAGAGAAGTTYAAACAGCATTTCCAAGCAATTTTAGAGTAACTTTTAAGTTCAAATATCTTCTGAAAGCTCCCGAAAATGAAAAATATCTATTTTCAAACACAATTTAAAGCTAATAACAATGACAATTATAATAATATCAATGTTTTGGAAAAATAATTTTTGAAGTGTGTGTGTGTATATATATATTAATTAGTTGTAAGAAACCACACCTCATGTATTGGTTTTAAACTTTTAATTTTGTTTTTGTTAGATAAAGAAGTTGAAAACCTGTGACTGTTACTTCGATAGACAATTCATTGTTCTATCTCATATCCGCTAGCAGAGGTTTCAATATTTTGGTTTTATTTGTAAAGGGTTTCCGCATTATTTTACTCAAGTATTTAYTCTTTTTGATTATTGAAAGTAGRGCATATGGTTTTCCACTGAACTTCTTTTGTCACTTTTAGTCCATCAAAAGCAGTTGAAATTTTGGAAGCATACGAGGGTACACTTGAAGATGATTATCCACCAGAGGGTGAACGCTGTGAGCATGGAGAGATGCTCTTATATAAGGTATTCTCTTTAACAAATTATAAAAACAAATTCTATATCAGTAATCCTAATTTTTTCTGTAATTACTGTTGTAATTGCTTTGTCAGTTCTTTTTATTTTATTTTTTATTTTTTTAYGAGGTTTCTATACATATTTTTTGCACGTGAATATCCAAGGTTGAACTTTGTTGGTGATTGTTATTAGCAAAGCTTTATTTGGTTGATAAACCATTTTTATGCTTCTGTCAGATTTCTCTGTTGGATGAGTGTGGCTTTCTTGACAGAGCTCTTGATGAGTTGCGCAAGAAAGAGCTGAAAATTGTAAGTTGGCCCTGTCTGTTCCATCTCCTTGGGATTTTTATTTAAGGTTTTCTCTACCCCCTTGCACTTGGGCTGTTCTTTTCTGTGTGATTAATACATCTCTTAAGTTTCCTATAAAAAAAGAACCTTCAGTATGACCAATCTGGTCCATTTACAGGTTGACAAATTGTCTTACAAGGAACAAGAGGTTTCACTGTTAGTTAAGCTTGGACGTCTGGAAGAAGGCGAAAAATTGTACAAGACACTACTTGCCATTAATCCTGACAATTACAGGTATTAGATGGCTTTAATTTTTTTCTTTGATCTTTAGGATTTGAATCTCCGGTTGTGCTCTCTTTGAATAAAAAGATCTCGAACTGTATGGCTTTATGGAACGACTGATGATGGACATATTTCTTTGGCTCTAAGGCATTTAAAGGAACAAAAAGAGAATTGCTGAACTCTACTTCCTATTGCATAGGCCAGTAGGTTTCATATTTAAACACGTAATGAATGAGGAAAGAAAGGAAAACTGAAGGATGCTTACTGATGATAAACCCTTCTCGTACTTTATTTTCTGCACGTTCAGTTTCTTAACATCTTGAAAAGCTTCAGAAGATGATTWACTTAGCTGAGTTCCACATAACTATGTTATCTCTCTTTCTTCCACAAAGGTGTGTATTCACACCAACCTACGAATGTCATATATATTTTGATGTGTGATCAATTATTTATATTTGTAGGTGTGATTTTTTTGTAAAAAATTTGGTCTGGAAAATCCATTTGGTTAGGTTCTAGATGATGCTATTTTTTTTCTTGCCACTGATTAGATACTATGAAGGGCTGCAAGTTTGTGTTGGGCTATTTTCAAAAAATTCTGAGTATTCTCCAGAAGAAATTGAACGGTTAGATGAATTGTACAAATCTCTGGGGCAGCAAAATGGGTGGTCATCTGCTGTTAAGGTATGACAGATTGACCAATATTTTCTCAATTCTCTGAACTTTTCCTTCAACTTTCGTTTTGTGAGTTTTAGACTGGCTGGAGAAATATAATTGTCCATTGTAAAACTTGACATGACCAAGATTTCTAACTGCAAGTGGATTTCTTGCACGCTTTAGTGTGGAATGATAACTTGGCATGTCATATTAATATACTATTCAAGGACGTGTCTATTTGTGAAAGAATAGTTTTGAATTAATTGAAAAAAGTCGTATGACAAATTCAAATGCTCACTGGTTTCCTTTTTATGCATTTTTGTCTACCTTTTCTAACTAAGCTGGGTGGTGTTGTTTCCTCCTTACCTCACGAGTATCTTGGTATGCCCTTTGGACGCACCCTAGGGCGTCATTTTTCTAGAATCAGGTAGTTGAGAAGGTCTAAAGGAAACTTTTCTCTATTGAGGGAGGATGCCTTATGTTGATTTTATCAATGTTGAGGAGGATCCCACTTGTACTTTTTCGCCCTTCTCAAAATYTCGTGAGTTGTTATGAAAACCCTGTAAAAGGTTATGAGAAATTTTCTTTAGGACGGTGTGGAGGGGAGGGGGTGGGGTGCATTTAGTTATTTGGAAGACGTTGTACAGAACTAGTGAGGAGGGTGATCAGGTATAAAGAATCTTGATTCTTTTTCATTCTGGAGAGAAACCAAACTTTTTAKTGAAATATTGTATAATTCAGTTATTATTGTCTTTCTTGTTATTCCTTTCTTACCAACATTGTTTCTGTTGTTATTGTCCAACGTGTCAACATCTATCATAGTTTGAGTTTCTTGACATTATTAAACTCCTCCTTCAGTTGTGTATTTTTTTTTCTTTTTGTGCAGAGAATACCACTTGATTTTCTTCAAGSTGACAAATTTAGAGATGCAGCTGATAATTATATTCGGCCTCTTTTAACCAAGGTATTTATGTTATGGCTATTCATTATGTTTTTTRGTTCTCTATTTGTAGTGGGTGCTGAACGTCAGTGAATCTCTTTTTTTATTTGCTTTAGGGAGTTCCTTCGTTGTTTTCTGATCTATCCCCTTTGTACGATCAGCCTGGAAAGGTTAGTTTGCTCTATTTCTGGGAATTTTTCTAGAACAGTTTCGAACTGTTGAATGTAATTGTCTAATGTCTGTATTGCTTGAACAATCAACTCATGAAATTTTCTAATGTCCCCTTTAATGAACTCTCGTCCAGGCTGATATACTAGAGCAATTAATTCTTTGGTTAGAGCATTCAATCAGATCGAGCGGTCAATACCCTGGCAGGTAATATTTCTATTTGTTTTGTTTTCCTTTTGTTACTGGTACAAGTGTTTACTCTTTTGTAGAAGATTGAGATACGTATCTAAACTCTATTTCTTTCAACTCGTCTAACCCACTTGGAAAGTGTGCAATGACTGGACTTCTTGCCTTTAGTTTGTTGRTGTGCTTCATTTTTTAAAACTTGGTATATGAATGGGTTATAAAGAAAAAATGAGGTACAAATTGCAGGACAAGACATTTGTAAGGCCTCCAATTGTAAGGGTTTATGCTAGAAGGGGCAGAGAGGGAATTTGTGATTAAGTTAGTTAGGGGTGGGGCCCTTTGGTTAGAGGAGAGAGACTGGAGGGAGGGGAATATAGAGTAATCGATGTCTTAGGGTGGAGGGTAGGTTTTATTTTTGTATTGAGGATGGCTGTTGCTGTGTGGAGAGATTACCAGCGCTCTCGAATTTGCTGGTTAGCGTGTTTCTTGCATTTTTGCTTTGAATTCCAAGAACTTGTAAGGGGATACCTTACAACATTCTMCGATGAAAGTCAATGGATTTCAAAATGGATTGGTTGACTTTGAATAAAAAGGAAGAGTAATTGCTCATTATCTCATTGATTTTGCACATTTAGGGCTTCATTTTATCATTTAGGAAATCCTTTATCTGGTTTTGGATCTTTTCAACTTTTGCTTTAAAACATTGCATCTTAGAAATATGTAAATACATGAATGCATAATATTTCCATTGTCAAAATCATTAAAATATATGGAAGTATTCAAATTTAATTAGAAAAAGTGCATTTAAAGAAATGTGTTATTGCCATGTTTGTGTCCTGACTTTTTATAAAATGACATCTTGTCCATGTCTATGCTCCTTAGGCTTATACTGGTGCATAAGGATTTTTCAGAAGTTAATCCTACTGCCATTGTGAGCCCTAAAAGCAAAGCTGACCTGCGCTTTATGCATGCCTAGAGAATGTTAAGGGCTTCTAAGGCTACCGTGGTTTGCTCAAATGAATTCTCTTAATAAATCGTCTCTTATCCAAAAAAAAAAAAAATCAAGTTGGTTTGTTCTGGTACTTCATAATTTCTGTGGTAGCTGATGGAGTTATTATCGCCYATAAGCTGCAACGTTATGAGCTTTTATAAAGAGATTTATCATTTTAGTGCCTTGTGGCTTCTAAGAAAATTCAATTTCCATGATCTTTTGAAGTAGTTGCTTTTTTATTTTTTTTTTAATCTTTGTACTTCTCTACTAGGCCCTTTCTATAAAAAGTTGCTTAATGTATTGATGCGTGGTGTTGAAAATCTGACCATTAGWTCACTAGTTTTCATGGTTTTTGCATCCTATTGTTTTGTTTTGGAGTACCCTTGCCAGCATCACTAGTAATAAGTTCTGTAACCTTGATTGAATTTTGCATGCTTGATGAGTAAAGCATTAGAAAGCAATTCTTTTTTTGAGTACAACATGTGGGGGTGAGRGATSGAACTCACAACCTCTTAGTTGGAGATATATGCCAATTACTACAGAGCTATGCTCGCTTTGGCTAAAGCATTAGAAAGCAATTGGCCTTCCATTCCTAAAATTTTCTATCTTTGGCATCATATAGGGGTGCTTCCGTTCCTAAAATTTTTCTATCTTTGGCATGATATAGGGGTTATTTTATAATTTATATCCTTCATTTAGTGGACACCGATGATCTGCCTGGAATGTGTCTTTTATTTTTTTCTTCGCTGTTCAAAAAGGGCATCATTTATTTCTGCTTCTACCTTCCATTTTCTTTGCTGCAGTACCGGAAAGGAGCCCCCATCAACACTCATGTGGATTTTGTTCTTACTGGCTCAGGTTAGTGTCTTTCAGTTTAATGATTACTTTAATATTTTTTTCTCTTGATTTTATTTCTTTRAAGTATAGCTTGTGCTCATGATATTCTGCATGCAGCATTATGACAGAAGGGGCCAATATGACACTGCTCTCTCCAAGATTGATGAGGCTATAAAGCACACTCCAACTGTCATTGACTTGTACTCTGTGAAGGTGATACAGGATGGGAAAACAATGTTGTCATTGATTAGGTTATGATGTTAGTTTATKTGCCATGGTTTGGGATGTTTTCCTATAATGTTTTGGATTGGTTTGGTATGATTTAGTTTAATTAGGGTTTCATAAAATGATTGGCAGATCACACTTGGATATAAATAGGCCTTCAATGTACTAGAGAAGAAGGCAGCTTGAAGCATTAAATGTTACCTATTGATGTATTTAAGGCTTGAACGCTTGTTCTGATTGATGAAACATATTCTCAAAACTTGTTTTTTTGTAACAATATTTAAAGAAAAACAGTAGTAAATTTTAAAAATTGTGGTGAAGGCTTTCATCAATCTTTTTCAATTCAACAATATGTAAGGTGGGAATTCGAAGCTTTATATATGTCTTAATTAGTTGAGTTATACTCAGGTTGACCTTTCGTCGTCTTTTAGTTATTTAGAATCATGTTTGATTTATATTGTTTTTTGTGTTATTATTCTACAGAGCCGGATATTAAAGCATGCCGGTGATGCAGCTGCTTCTGCTGCATTGGCAGATGAAGCGAGGTGCATGGATCTTGCAGATCGTTACATTAATAGTGAATGTGTCAAGCGTATGCTGCAGGCAGATCAGGTTTTACAATTTTTCCATTTCTGGATATGATATTTCATCTGGTGCAAAATTTGGCTATTTATGTTCCATCACTGGGCACCACTAATGTTTCCTAAATAATGTCGTACTTAAAGGTAGCCTTGGCAGAAAAAACGGCAGTTTTGTTTACAAAAGATGGAGATCAGCACAACAACCTTCATGATATGCAGTGCATGTGGTTTGTCTCCATCCGCTGCCGGTTCTTTCAACTATCCAATACCATTGTTCTTAAYATCAATTAAATATGATCAACTTTTCTTGTAAAAGGTATGAACTTGCATCTGGTGAAAGTTACTACCGCCAAGGTGATCTTGGACGGGCTCTGAAGAATTTTTTGGCTGTTGAGAAGCATTATGCTGATATCACCGAAGATCAGTTTGACTTCCATTCTTATTGCTTGCGGAAGATGACTCTGCGCGCATATGTTGATATGCTTAGATTCCAAGATCGATTGCATTCACAGGCATATTTTCAAAAAGCTGCTATAGGGGCCATCAGGTGAAGCCTTTTGATAGGATCTGTATTGTTTTCTTTCGCAACTTTTTGCATGTTTTGACTTCCAATATGACCTCCTCTCTCCATTCTTATTCTCCAACTAAGATGCATAGATATGGACATAATGGGAATATCTTTTAGTTCATGAAAAAGATTTTACACATTTCGATGCCTTTCATTTTTCAATCTTAAAATGTCTTATGTTTTAAATGCTATAAWAGAAAAGACTGAAATATTGAACATGTATAAGAAGGTGAAGAAACTAATTACATATTTCTATAATATACTTTTTGTGCATGCGTCAAAACTATCATGAAAAATAATAGCAATCTAGTTAAGTGTTCTTAGTGTTCAGCACATGTTAGTTATTGAAAAGTTTCCAGAACTAAAATGTTCGTCCTCCATAGCTAAGCTAGCCAAATATTTACATAATCTTAGACCAAAACCAAAAGAGATTTATCCCCTTTATTTGTTCACAGTGTCATTTTTGCATTCTTAGAAAAATGTTTTTATTGTTAATTTTTCTATGTGGTCTTTTTTTTTTATTTTTTAGAGAAAGGACTCTAAACATTTTATTTGAATTTGAAGTGCAGATGCTATATAAAGTTGTATGATTCTCCTCCTAAATCTAGTACCGGAGAGGATGATGATATGTCAAATTTGCTTCCTTCTCAGAAAAAGAAGATGAGGCAAAAACAGAGAAAGGCTGAAGCACGAGCTAAGAAAGTATTGTGATTTATTATTGCAGTTGTTCTTGGAGGGCTTTTCTCTGTTGGCTTCTAATATATTTTGTTGCACATTAGGAGGCAGATGTGAAAAATGAAGAAACAAATAATTCTGGTGTCTCGAAGTCTGGGAAACGTCATATCAAACCTGTTGATACAGACCCGCATGGGGAAAAGTTGGTGCAGGTTGCTTTCTGTCTGTTTTGTGTATGTTGGTGGGTCGGTTTGTGAAGCTCCATAAGTTTCATTTCCAAATTATATAGGTTGAAGATCCATTATTGGAGGCTACAAAGTACTTGAAGTTACTTCAGAAGCATTCTCCCGATTCCTTGGAGACACACCTACTTTCTTTTGAAGTAAATATGAGAAAGCAGAAAATTTTGCTTGCCTTTCAGGTACGTAGTACGTTTTAAATGCAGATCTTGGGGCTSCCCCATGCTTTTCTCCAGCATAATTGCCCCAGCTGTGGTACACGAGAATTATTTATTGCTGCGGATTAATCTTTTTGGCCCAAATAGTTGCTCCAGCTGTGACAAATCTGCTATTCCATTTTTTTTTCCTTTATATTAGAATTATCATCTTTTCCATGCGCTTCTACAGCTTTGATTTTGCATATATGGAGGGGAAGAAATCAAAGAGTTTTTGAGGGCATTGAAGCTTCTTTTGATTCTTTTAGAAATTAGAAATAGTGTGCATCTTACTACTTYGTAGTGCTTAAAACACAAGAAATTTATTTGTAACTATGGCCTATACATGATTCATTGATTCTTCAAGATTGGAAAGCATTATTTCATTAGTTTTGCTGGGGAATGCCTCATCCCTTGCCTGTAGGCTGTTTATTRTGTTCTTGTGTTTATAATATATTGTCTCTTCTCCAAAAAAAAAAAAGTCATCCTTTCTGCTTATTTTTTCCTGTAGGCTGTGAAGCAACTTCTAAGGTTGGACGCAGAACACCCGGATTCACATCGTTGTTTGGTATGTTGCATGTGATGTGTATAGTTTCATAGAGCTACTAGGAGGCTATATTTGATATCTTATCCATTTTTCTTATGTTTTTGAAACAACTGGATTATATGATTAATTTAAACCTGCATGCTTATTTTCAAAGACATACAAACCATTTTAGTCTTTTTTGCCTCCTTTCTCTCTAACTTTTTTCTCTCCCTAAAACGCTTGTCAAATTCTCTTTAAACTTCAAATATTAATCATTCACAATAACTTTTAATTATATGAAAATTACTCAAAAAACTGTGTAACCAAATGTTAAAATTATAATATAAAAATCACTTGTTATTAAATCTCTTTCACTAAAATCAMCCATTCTAAATAATCATTCTTAAACAAGTCCTTMTTTTCTTTTTTGACGAAAAACTAAGATTAATGAAAMTAAACAAAGAAGTTTAAATAATACAAACTACCAAAAGGGTAAAAAGAAATAAAAATAAAAATACTCTCAGGATGAGATTTGAATGCATCCCAATTAATACAAATGTCAATGCAAGAATAATTAATGAACAATTTAGAAAGAGAACACAATTGAGAAGCCTTGGCTAGATCAAAMTGTTCTCCGCAACATCTTTGTTTGTCCTCGAAAATTATCTATTGCTTGTTTGAATAACTTGTTTCCAGGTCACAAACTTAAGGTGAATTTTTTTTCTTTTTCTAAATAGGTGTTTCATTGTGTGTGAAAGAACTTATTTTTCTGTTTTGTGTGTGGGTCTTTAGCATGTCTGAATGTTGTGGATTGTTTAAAGCTCATTCATATTTGTTTGCAGATCAAGTTCTTCTGCAAGGTGGACTCAATGCCTGCTCCAACAACTGACGGTGAAAAACTTGTCTGGAGTGTGTTAGATGCTGAGCGTCCTCTGATCAGGTTTTAGAATATCTTTTAGTTACATTCTAGTATTTATTCTGTTGTTTACTCTAAGTGGCTCAAAMTACTCCTTTCGGCAGTCAAGTGCATGAAAGATCTTTGATGGAGGCGAATGAAGTTTTTCTTGAGAAATACAAAGGTTATCATCCACTTTGTTGCAGTCTCGTATACCATAAAACTTGAATATTTAAATTTTGTTCACATCGACACATATTGGATATTTGTTCTTGGTGGATTTATGTAGTGTGTCGACACGTATTGCATAATGAAGTTTTTATTCTGTACATAATAGGACATGTTTAGACAAGTGATCTGGATTTTTTTTTTCCTTTTTTTGAAAGGAAAGCAAACTTTACATCTAATTAATGAGAATATATCAAGAAAATAGTTCTGACTAATAAACTAGATTCTCAAGTTCCAAATCAACCTATAAATACAAGCAACGAACACTGTCTGACCCTTTTCAAGTCTAAAACCTCCCCGAAAGATCAATACAAAAATTAGAAAGCCCACTCCTGAAAATACAAATACAATTTCCAAAGATAATTCTTTAACTTGAAAAAGTTTTCCTACAATAATTAATTTTTGAAAGAATAATTGTTAAAATATTTGGAAAGAGGACTACGAGGCAACTTGCTGTTCTATGTTTAATTCGACCAAAACATTCCTCGCAACTAACTTTTTTGTGATGTTTGTTTTGGCCCATAGCTCCATAATGTGTGTGCATTCATTTCGTAATGTGTTTGGATCTGTTCATATGTTTTTTAAAACAATTTTTTTTCATATTGCAGACTCCTTGATGCATAGAGCTGCAGTTGCAGAAATGCTAAATTTATTAGCACCTCAGAGAAGATCTGAGGCTATCAAATTGATTGAAGAGTCAACAAATGGCATGGTGCCAAGGTTAACACATCTTCATGAGTCTCTTATTTACTCTTCATACGGGATATCTCTAGATTCTTGGCTTCGTATTTGTAACCAAAGTAAGATCTGGTTTTATTAGAAATGGAGCACTTGGGCCGGTTAGGGAGTGGAAGCTCAAGGATTGCATTGCCATTCACAAGCTCTTGGAAAYGGTCCTTATTGACCACGCTGCTGCATCAAGTAAGCAAAWCAAGTTCCCTGCCAAATCACRTGTCCACGTCTTTTTGAATTTCAAATTTTCAAACTCATATCATAGTGTGCAATGTTAAAGTTCTAACCATTTAGTCATTATATATTCTTACCTCATCTCATCACTAGCAGCAGTTGCCATTAGAATGAGTTGGCAACTTTTAATATCAAAGYTGTTAGACACATAACCAGGTCCAGTCTTTGTTGTACATTAGATAAAAGATCAAATGGTTTTCGTTTGGCATGTAAACCTCTTGATATTATGGTAATTGAGTCCGAAAATGTAAATTTCGTGGCAAGAATGGAGCATTGAGCAGACTATTGGTGGTAAGCTTAAAATTGCATTCTTGGGCTAATATCYCACTTAATCATGTGTACATCCTTTGATGGATTCTTCGTAAGAACTTGCTTTGAGAACATTCTTGCCCTCTCAGGAAGCCAAGGGCCCTTGTCTCATTTCCTCCATCCCCTTCCTCCTCTCCTCTCCAACGGAGAAATCATTTGTATAATCGATAAAGTGCTCCCAAGAAGGGGAGACTGGTCGCATAGCAGGCTCAAAATGGAAGTCTAATTCAAATGAATTGGAATTTGGTTGAGGGAGAAAATCTGGCATGAAGCCTGAGATCAATATTTATATGTTCTCCCCAGCAAAAKTACAGTTAGCGTGCAAGTYATCTGTTTTGTACGGGAAGAATTTTTTTTTTGGAGAACATTTATTCTGTAGTTATGAGTAGTTGTTATATGGAGGCTGCTAGAATTGCCAACAAGGAAACCAAAGCCCGAGTGTACTTTTGATGGTCTAGAGTCACCCACGACAGCTTGTTTGAATATGAATACAAGCAAGTAGTAGGGTATGTATGGATTAAAATAAGATAGAAAAATTGTCGGTTATAACTACTAGAAGAAAGCAGTACGCCTTAAAGAAAGAGAACTTTGAAGCATCCACCTGCTATAGAAAAAATCGTGGTGAACAAGAAGATAGCGTATTATCCAAATACCTACCCTGCACTTGCCAATGGTAAACAGAGAGTTGAGTTGAAGGTCATGATGGGTAACTAAAGCAGTAGAACGATGAAGCAGTAACAATAACCCGTATGCATTTCCACTGAGAAGTTCGTATCTTTGTTAAAAAAAAAACTATATGCTAACAGTAGGGATTCCTATCAGTCATTGGTCCTCTGCAATCTAAGTTAGCTCTTGTGCGAGAATCTGTAAAGGAACAACTTCTGAAGAAGAGAGATCAGTGGATGTGGAGATTTTGGTACCTGCAAGGATTTTCAGTGAATACAGGCTAAAGTTGACATTAGCAAATACATTCAATGTCTATATGTAGTGGGATACTACGTACTGCCTTCCCCTTGAACAGTAATGACAAATTTGAACTCGAGATTTCTAGAGGGAGGAAATTGATGTAGGCAGTTACATTGTTGTGATCTGGTGGGGTGGTAATGTGTAATTTAGAAGTTAGTTATGTTAGTTATCCACGGTAAAATCTGTATCACCGTGCCTATCAAGCWTATGAACATGGCTAGGTTGTAAACATTAAATAATGAAAAAGATTTCTCTCTGCAATTTATCAACCTGTTTTAATGGGGAGGGGGAGTTTGTGTAATAATGATACTGGCATACTGGCAGACAGCAGTAGACAGTAGTTGATCATTTTGTATCAAATTAGCGTGATTTTTGAAATTTAATTTATATATACTGATTTCTGATCTGGTGTTTTGTGTTGCCAATGTGAATTCTGCCATAGGATGGAAAACTCGTTGTTCTGAGTTCTTTCCTTACTCAACGTGCTTTGAGGGCGGCCTCAGCTCTGCCATACCAAACTCAGTGAACAACCAGATATCCAAAGATGTGGAAAGGATTGGTACCGGTCGTTCTGAAAGCAGTCGAAATGCCAACTCCATTTCTGATAACGGAAAGCTAGAAGGATTCAAGGAGCTCACTATTTGACCGCAATGTCTAATGCCAAACATATAACGAGTTGTTGCATTTGCAGGTTCATTTTTGAGATGGTATAATGCCCCTAGATGATTTGAAAGCGTCATTCCGAAAGCTGTCCGGAGTCCATTAATGACTTGCAAAGGAACAAACAAACACCGTCACAAGCTAGGTCCATAGCTAGCTGTGGTGATCCGGTTTGTAGTTTGCTTAAGATCTTGTTTTTCTCTCTCCTTTTTTTTCCCTTCTTTTATTTGTTTTCTTTTTACCCAATTCTCTGATATGTATTCCTTCTGCAAATGTGTATAACTTCAATTCCCATTGCATTTGGAGGGTTAGACATTTTCGTATGCTCACAATTTTTGTAGATCCTAGACGAAGGATGTTGTATGGGTTTTGCTCGAATTCGAAATCTGAGGTTATATTTAGGAGAAGAGAGCTAGATTTCTTTCCCTTTTTCGATATCCTCCTTGGTTATATATACATCATCCTGATCCTGAAAAATAGAGATACTGGACTTTTTCACTGACTGCATTGTTATGTATAAACATCATGTGGAAATTTTTGCCATGAAATTACTTTTGACAACCTTTATGTATTGGCTCTTCAATTTTATGCTATCATTTTGGTGATCATATCTGATTCTAGTAGCTTCAGTTTAAGCCATCACAGAGAATGAAAAGATTCTCGGTGGAGCTTTAGTGTTTAGGGTTTTTTGTTTTCTAGTTCAACAATTGCAGGGAAGAGAGTCTTATTCACTTGAGTTAGGTTCGGACTGATAATTCTYGATTGAAATGTAGTTGGTTGATTATATTTGGCTCGGAGATTGACAATTTGACATCAAGCAAGTAGAAGTTTCTACGAYATACTTCTTTGTCGATGTATATTTTAAGGAATGTTAGTTTACGAAGAATGTAGAAGTGAATTTATCGATTGGAAATGAGTTTGTAATGTATTCTATATGACATGAAAAAACTTGTAGGTGTTCTACAAGCCATTAAAGATATGATTTTTTCTCCAAAAACTTCYATCTTTTTTAGAAGGCAAAAGCAATCCAATTTTTACTCCTACGAGTAAATTTTTCTTCTAATTTTTTGGTGTCATCTAGCAAATCTTATATCTGGATGAAGTGCTGTAATTTTTACTTGAATTAAGTCTCAAGATTAATGGCAAGTAAATCTGTGAAATCTGATCGATTTGAATAAAAGTCGAGCCTTGGTGTTGTATTTTTTGAAGTTGTATATATATATATATATATATATATATTTTTTAAGGTTTATATTTGTTTGAATTCACATAATGATATATATTTTTATAACAAGCTTGAAAAAGTTAAAAAAAAAATGTAATATTTATTAAAGTTTGAAGGGTCCATTACAAATTTAGGGTGAAAAATGACTTGGTTTAGAAGGTTTATGTTAAGAATTGACTTTGGATTGGGTGGTAAAATATACATTGGATTAAAAATGCATTTCTTCATTCATATCAATCATGTTGGTTTCTGTTTCCAAATTGCTCATATAGCTGTTATGATTTTGTAAGTTGCCTTCAATTTACTATTGTTTGATTTAATGGGATTTATGTGTATTTTAATAATTAGATTTAATGTTGATTAAAAATGGTCCCATATTTGGAATTCATGTATTAAACATAATCCATTCAATTTTTTTCAATTCAATCTCACGGGGCCCAATTTACTTTTTCCGACATTATTTTTTGGCAATGTTTTTTCTTGCGGCTGTTTTTTCCTTATGAACATTTACTCCTAAAAAATGTTATATAAGGTATATATATATTTTTAATTGGTATTAGAGTGTTATAATTTATAAATATATACTACTTTAAAAAGTTATATAATATATACTTTATTTTGGTATATATTAAATATTAGGTTATATAATATATATGCATTTTTTTCTATTTCTAACTTACATGTTATATAATATATAGCTTTTAGTGGTATATACTAAACTATTAGGTTATATAATATATATCTTGAAATATATTATACATCCAAAATTTACTCCATATTAAATGTACCCAATATATACTCCACAAGATATCCTACCTGCGTTGTATATACTTGATTTAATAAAGAGAAAGATATACACAACATATACTTTATACACCTAAAAATGAAACTCAATATATAGTATCTCTTTGAACAAAAGCAACTCTAGGTTTTCATTTTTCTCATTTCTCAAGTAGCTACAACCTTCAGCGATATGTAGGGTCGTCGGGTTTGCTGCAAATTTGCACCGTGGAGGGACGCTGTCAGTTCGTGGAGGAGGAATAGTCCGCTGTGCTCCTGTCGTGGTCGTCAACCGCCGTTGTCTGAGGTCGTTGGAGAGGAGACTATTGGAGGAGGGGGCGGCGACTCACACAAGAAGAAGGGTGGGGAGAGAAAGAGAGGGAGAGAGACGTAGGTTTTGAGAGGGAAAGATATTAGGATTTCTTAAATTTGGGATAAAAATCTTGAGGTAGCAGAAATTTTGATTTTTTCCTTATTTGTAATTTATTTATTTATTTATTTATTAAAAATATATGAATATGGGTAGCTTTATAGTTTTCACATGGGCGTAAATATATCAATTATAAAATTTTAAACTATTTATATAATTAGGTTTTTTAAAAAGTCTTCCGTATATTTATCCCTTATGGCCATTTGTTAACTTTTTTGACTCGGGAATGAGATATCTCACCCACTTTGCCTTAAAATATTTCCTGCTTATGATTTAAATATTTGAAAGGTTCTAATTTTTTATTTTCTTTTTAACATAATCTGATTCTTATCTTGACATGTGAACATATTTTAAATATTTAAAAGGATAGGTTCTTGATAATTTTGTAGATGAATAAAAATTCCAGCATTAATAAGCTTTCATTATTCCTGGAGGGTAGAACCTAACTTATTTATAAGGGTAGGGACTTAATTTAATTAGCAATTACATCATTATCATTTTTTAGAACATTAGCTTATGGACTTTGACCCTATTGTGAAGAGCAACTTCGTGTAATTAATTATGATTTGAAATACCACTGCTATTTAACTACTTTTCAATAGGACTGTTAGGAAAATTTATATTTAAGCGTTAAAAATAAGAAAAGTGACAGACACACAATATCATAAAAAAAAAAAAAAAGTGTCAAACACACCTAAAATTTGAAATTTGTTGATACTATCAATTCTGAATCATTAAATTACGCAATCCAAACATATTTCAATGAATAAAACGTACACCTATCATCATCCTCCCAAACATCGAAAGTTGGACCTCTATGATACAATAGTTGAATTCCAAAAAATGGGAAAAATTTATTGAGAAATCTAGAATTATACAAAATTTTGGATCTCGAAACTTGAGACTTCAAAGACACCAAAGTACCTGTAGCTGTCCGATCCCTATGAAGTCTCTTATTAATTATAAGTATTCTCTACTCGCATATTTATAATAAATGATAATAGTTAACCTTAGCCTAACCAAACTTTTCAAGAAAAAGACGAARAAAAACTATTTCCTAAACTCTCAATTAATGACAATTAATATAGAGAATGTTTGATAACGTTGTCTTGGTTTTCTTATTAAACGTATACATTTCACAAATTAATGATCTTTATTTCTCGGTTTTTCAGTTTTAAGAAACTCCAAAATTTAAAATATGTGGTTTTTATTACCCTTTTTTTCTTTGAAAAAAGTTTTTAATTTCCTATTTTATAATTAAAAACATACATATATATATATGATAGATATTTATTGTCTTATAAAAATATTCAAATTTCTCTCTAAAATAAAATTACAATTCWTTAAATCTAAAACTATGATTTCATTATATAGAAAATATATGATAGATAGTAATAATAAAAAAAATTAATATTTATTGAACAGAGACACAAAGAGAATATAAACATATACGAGAGACTTTTCGCTAACGGATGGTGACACAATACTCAACGTCAACCAGAACGGATCCTAACTCTCGACACCTTCATCATCTTCGAACTTGATCTTTGAAGCTTGAAAAATCATAAAAACAACGTTAATGCTAAACATTTAAAGAAGAGAGTTCAAAAGTAAAAACATAAAAGGAAAAAAGGGATCTAAAATTAGATGTAACTTGAGAAAACTTAAAATTCCTATAAATATGGCTTTCTTGATTTCTCATCCAAGGCTCCACTGTATCAAATCTTTTGTAAGTATCATAATATGGCAGTGATGTCTTCATCAAATATTTGTAATTTTGGTAAGGAAAYAATCACAATTTCGAAGAGAGAACAAAGTTTTGGACATGCAATAAGAGGCAATTTGCAGCTCAAAGGCCATGCCCAATATTCCTCTCTACGCCTCAAAACTAACATTGCTCAAATCACTGCCTGTAAGATGATGATGATGAAAAATCCTGCTTTCTCCAACTTTTTTTGGGGTTTTTTGAGAGATGATTTATTGATTTTTTTTGTTGTTTTTGGTGGCAGGTGGGTTTAAAAATATTGATRGTCGCAACCCGAAAAAACTTGACATGACTATTGACGACTCGAGCATGGGAGAGCTATTAAACAATGGTCAGATTTATCAACATCATTTCTTGATCAAAGCATACGAGTCGGGAGTTGATAAAAATATGGCCATGTTTTTCATTATCAACCAATTACAGGTTTGGATCCAACATTAAACTTATAAGAATAATTATTAATGTATCTTAACATGTCGAATTATATTCCGATAGACATAAAAAAWTTGTGAGTTTTTTCTTATTAGGAGTCAAAACTAAACCACTTGAAAAGTTGTGGGTTGGTGAATGGAGGATTGGGAACAACTATAGAAATGGATAAAAGGGACCTCTTATGGGTGGTTCATAAAATGCAAGTGGTAGTCGACCACTATCCTTCTTGGTAATTATAATTTTTCTTTTTGAAATTCCATAATTTAAACGTATTGAAAAACAATAGCCATATTGAATAATTTATCGATTCATTTTCATCTTGGGTAGGAAAATGTATACAAGTATATGTAAATGTGTGTTTGGTTGTATTTTTTTTTAGGAAGGATGTTGTTCAACTAAGCACTTGGAGTTGTATTCATGGGAAGCACGGTTATCGTCGAGATTGGATCATTCGAGATCATAAAACTGGCGAAGTTTTGATTCGTGCAATCTGGTCTGTTCTTTTCTTCTCTTTCTACTTTAAACATAAGAAAAACGAAAATAAATTCGACGTTAATTTATGTTTGCATATATTGCAGTTTCTACGCTGTGATGAACAGGAAAACAAGAAAATTATCAAAGTTTTGTGATGAAATGAAGACCGAAATAACTCCCTACTTTTTGGATTGTGATCCGATTATCGAAGAGGAGAAAATTATTTCAAATAAACTAGATGTTAATTCTGATGGTTCCCACATAACATGTTTAGTTGTAAGTACTTTTATTTAAAAAATGTATGATTCTATTTAATTAAGGTTATAGTTTTTATCTTTTAAACTTAGTAATAATTATCAACCGTTTTTTTTCCCTTAATTCTCATTTTTTCAAAATATTTTTGAAACTTTGGTGAAAWTTTTTTTGCTTTTGTTCTTAAAAATTGATTCTTTAAA